TTATAGCAGCCCAAATGGACTAACAATTATGAAGAAAAGCACTGTTATGGAAATTTTAGTAACTAAGAAAAATTGCCTAAGATCGGAATGTCATAAACTAACATGTTTCTTTATCTGCAGAGTCCTTTACTTGATATTAACTTTGACCATGTATTCTCTTGGTGACTGCGACGGCTCACCATGATACAGATGATAAGCTGTACAAACATGCTCATAAGTGTTCACTGTGTGAGCAAGAGTGAGGACCTATCTATATTCAACATTTTCTGGATTTGCTTGGTATTGGAAATATTGGGGGTTTTTTTGTTTGTTTTTATTTTTTCTTAGAGACAGAGTCTCACTCTGTCACTCAGGCTGGAGTGCAGTAGTATGATCATAGCTTACTGCAGCCTCGACCTACTGGCTCAAATGGTCCTCCCACCTCAGCTTCTTGAGTAGCTGGGACTACAGGCACGCACCACCATGCCTGGCTAATTTGATTTGTTTTTTTGAGACAGGGTCTCACTATGTTGCCCAGGCTGATCTTGAACTCCTGGACTCAAGTGATCCTCCTGTCTCAGTCTTCCAAAGTGCTGGTATTATGGGTGTGAGCCACTATGCCTGGCGGTTTGGTTGCTGTTGTTGTTGTTGTTTTCCCTTAGAGACAGGTTCTTGCTCTGTCGTTGCCCAGGATGGAGTGTAGTGGCCCAGTCATAGCTCACTGCAGCCTTGACCTCCTGGCTCAAGAGATCCTCCTGTCTCAGCCTCCTGAGTAGCTGGGACCACAGTCAGTGTTAGAAAGTTAGGTTTGAAATGAAAGTCTGCAGACACATCTCCTGTCCTCAAAAGAACAAAATATACTAAAGAAACATATATTGTATTTGCTAGTAGGACCATACTGTTTATTATATAGATACTTTTTTAAACCAAAGTTTCTATACACTAGAATTTGGGGGAAGCCATAATATCAAGCAAAGAAAATTCAAAGTTTCATTTTAAACATTACTTTGACAGTAATATAAGTATTTTGCCAAACTTTATTAACCTTAACCTAATAATGAAAAAAGTAGAAAAATCAAGAATGTGGGACATTGTTTAAGACTATTGGGAAAAATGTCATTATTATAGAAATATTTTTAGACAGAAAAATTGTTGTAGATTAAGAATTAAAGAGAAATAATCAAATGCAATGTACAAATCTTGCTTGGAACCCAGATTCAGAAAAATAAAACCCAGCTCTAAGACATTTTTTAAATAACTGGAGAAATTCAAACATAGACTGTATATTAGATAATACACAAGTAATGTTAATTTTCTTAAGTGTGATATTATGATTGGTTATATAAAATATATCTTTATTCTTAGACAATCTCTCTCCCTCTCTTCCTCTCCATATGTGTGTATATGTATAAATAGCCAGCTGAGGTTGGGTGCGGTGGTGCCTGCCTGTAATCTCGGCTGCTTGGGAGGCTGGGGCAAAAGGATCACTTGAGCCCAGGAGTTCAAGGGTGTAGTGCACCATAACTGCACATGTGAATAGTCACTACACTTCAGCCTAAACAATATAGCAGGAACCCATCTGTTCTTTGTTAGGCCACCACGCCCGGCCTATAATTTTCTTAATAACTTGAATAATGCATAAAGTTAATCTAAACCAATTGCCCACTGAGTCCATCCCAACTGTAATAGAGACGGGGTTTCACCATGTTGCCCAGGATGGTCTTGAACTCCTGAGCTCAAGCAATCTACCCCATCTCGGCTCCCAAAGTGCTGGGATTACAGATGTGAACCATTGTGCCTGGCCTACCATGAGATTTGTAATTGGTTAATCACAATCCTTCCCGTGTTCATTTGTGATTTGCTAGATTGGTTGGAACTTACATAATTTATATTTGGATTAGAGAATCCCTTTGGAATGCCACAAACCTGTTTTGCTTTGCTGATTAAATTCTTTGTTGCATGTTTTGCAAAAAGAATCCAGCTAGATTACAAAATGCTACACACCCACTAAATGCTTCAGAAACACAAGTTGGACAGAGCATTTTATTTCTTCTCAGGAGCTGCCTGAGTCACCACATGACTTGTTGGGTCTTGAGAACCTGCTTGAATAGAACAGGCTTGAGCTGTCTGAGAAATTATTTGTGGCATGTTATTTCAAATAAGATTCAACATGTGTTTTATGGATTTTTTTCTTTTAATACGAATATTGCAAGGTATTTTGGGAAACTTTTATTATTGAAACAATATTCAGATTATTTTGCTTTGTCATATAGGGATTGAACAATTTGGAAAAGTTGGCACTGTTAAAATATTTCGGGGAGCATGCAATGTATTCTTGCAATAACAGGCAAAACATCATACAATGTCAAGAGAATGCCCCTCTCTATTCTGTGAAACACAAGTTCAAAGGTTTTCTGAATAATCACCAAGGACACCTAGCAATTATGATGTGGTTTCTTTTCAGGGGCAAAAGCAAGAAGCCTCGTGCCATGGATACATTTGTAGCTAATTATTTGTTACATAACATGATATGATATAAATCAGATTGGAGTATACAATTTTCACAGAATGTATTCGGAAAGACCCACTCTTATACATGCAGGGCTTTGGTGCCCCATATTGTTGAAAGGTTGCAGGGAATTGACTCATTAACTGAACATCACTTCACCCCGTAGGTCATTTGACTTTAGTGGATTAGGAACAACTTGAGAATTAATCACAGTAAACATACTGAGTGGAATTCTCACTCCCCTTGTCTCTACTTCCATGGTTCTTTGCCCTCTGTTATTAGGTATTGTGTGGGTTTTATTAAAAGTTGTAAATGTGTCAACCTCCCCCTCGGGATCACACAAAATCAGGGACAATGGTCTATCAGTGTTTTCTTTATCAGAGGCTCTTATATGTTACCTTGTACAGACAGTCGCTGGCTTATCATGGTTTGATTTAAATTTTTCAATTTTACAGTGCTGTGAAAGCAATACACGTGAGTAGAAACTGTATTTCAGGGACCCATACAACCATTCGGTGTTTCACTTTCAGTATAGTATTCAAAACATTACATAAGATATTCAATACTTTATCATAAAATAGGTTTCGTGGTAGATGATTTTCCCAACCATAGGCTAATACAAATGTTCTGCACATGTTTAGGGTAGGCTAGGTTAAGCTATGATGTTTGGTAGGTTAGGTGTATTAAATGCATTTTCAACTTACGGCATTTTGATGGGTTTATCAGAATGTAACCCCATCTTAAGTGGAAGAGCATCTGTACATACAAATGCCTCAATAAATGTTTATTGGATTAATTGTTTGGGGGTAGAAATATATGAAGGAGTCAAGAATGATTACATTTCAGGCAAAATACATTGACTAGGCAATTGACACAAAGATGGGGTAAGATAAATGCATTCCAGTACCATTTAGAGCAGATTTAATATCATTCACATTATTTAGGAGCCCTTTGGTTCTTTTTACCCTTTAGTGCCCTTTTACCCTTCCCTCTCTTGTTCTCTTCATCTTTAAGCTTTGTACTTGTGGAAATAATTGACTATTGAGTTTCTGGGGCTGCAGGAAATGCTTAGAAATGACTGAACCCGTAATCCAAGTGAGCCCAGAGACCTTTGGAAGAAATATTTTTTACTCATTTGTTTTTGAGACAGTGTCTCGCTCTGTTGCACAGGCTGGAGTGCAGTGGCACAATCAGGGCTCATGGCAGCCTCTACCTCCTGGACTCAAGTGATCCTCCAACCCCAGCCTCCTGAGTAGCTAGGACTTACAAGCAAGCACCACCAGGCCTGGCTAACTTTTACTTTTTTATTTTCTGTACAGATGGGGTCTTCCTACATTGCCCAGGCTGCTCTCAAATTCCTGAGCTCAATCAATCCCACCACCTCGGTCTCCTAAAGTGCTGGGATAATAGGCATGAGCCACTGTGACAGACCTGTCCATGTTTGTTTGTTTGTTTTTAAATGAGCTTTTACTTAATCATGGCTTCTAAACTGTTTTGGAAAAGTCTGAGCTGTATTTCTAAGAGAATAGCTACCTGCTAAAGGCATTGCCAGAAAGTCAGACCCCTTCCCCACCCCCCCGCCCCCCCCCAGCCCCAGGTCCTTAGGGGTCTTGCTAGTGTCAGCCCTGGCTCCTCACCTTGTTTCCGTGTGGAGTTAAGGAATGTTTCCTGAAAGAAGATATAAATAACTAAGAGATTCTTCCTTCTCTTTCCACCTATTCCTCCTTACCCCAGACAATCCACTAACACCTTCTAGAGCAACAGAACTTTAAAAATTTTTATAATTTTTAAAATAACACCTGACACTAACTTCATGGAGTCACAGGCCAAAATTTCATGCGTAAAAACAATACATCAAGTTCCCAGAGCACTTCCAGATAATTATTAGAAAAATGTTTCCTTTACCTTATTACTAGGACCATTCAGTCCCTATAAATAAGATTCCATTAAAATAAAATCACTGAAAGGCAGGCACAGTAGTGTGCACCTGTAGTCTGAGCTACTAGAGATGCAGGAGGATTGCTTGAGGCCAGGAGTGCTAGGCGGTCCTGCGCTATAATCATGCCACTGCACTCCAGGTTGGGAGACATACGGAGACGTGTCTTTAACCAAACAAGCAAGCAAAAAAAAAAAAAAAAAATCATTTCCACGGAGGAAGTGTAATGTGAGCTGTAGTGCCCTGCCTAGGTCCCTAACATCATTTCAGGACTGAGGGACTCATTCCACAGTTGCTGGGAATGCTGGTACTAACAATTTCCACCTCAGAGAGTGAGAGCCCCAGAAAGCCCAACCCCAAAGGGTACATTTTCTTTCCACCAGTCTGGGGCTTCAGCGACTGGGGGTATAAAGGACTAGACACACCCACCTCCAATTTTGGACTACTTGAAAGGGCCAACCCAGACAAGTTTGGGGTACTTGCCCAGCTCCGTTTCTCTGATAACCGCCCACCCTTCTATCCACAGGGTGTTTTGCTTAAGCCACGTTTGTATCACATGACTTCTCCCCTGGCCAGGTCACATGGTGCAGCTGGGCCAATCCGATGCTTTCTTCTGGGAATCTGGAAAAGGGCTTGAGAGTGTTCATCTCTGCTTGATAAATGTGGCTAGTGTGAGGGGCCCCAGCCTGCCTAGTGGACTTGAGAAGGAGCAAAATATGGTCCCAGGAAGACAAAAATGGAGGTATTGTGAAAGAAGCCAAGATGAGAGAAGAACCAACTACATAATTTGTTACATCCAATGCAAAATGAAAGGCAGAGCCTCTTGTTCAAAAACCAGGACAAATGTATTTTTAAGTAACTAAAATATAAAGCTCTTTCTTCCATGGTCTTTCTCTCAGTTTGTCCTGGTGTGTTTTATTTGCTATTTGATGCCATTCCAGATAAAGAAGAATTGAAATTTGATTTTTGATTTTTTTTGGTAGAAATGGGGTCTTGCTGTATCACCCAGGATGGTCTCGAACTCCAGTTCGAGAAGAGATCCTTCTGCCTTGGCCTCGGCAAGTGCTGGGATTATAGGCGTGAGCCACTGCGCCTGGCCTAAAAAAAAAAAAATTAATTTAAAATTATTAGTATACGTTTTACCATTTGTCTTGTGCAAAGTCAATCTTTCTTCTTTCTTCCAGGGGGACATTTGAATTGATTTTATGGAGCCATAAGGCATTAAAGATACCTTTTTGTCCATTTTATGACGTGTTATCGTTTCTTCTTCTTTGTTTTTAGCTCTAAAACAAATCCTAAAGTCCGTAATTACCAAGTAAGTTACTGCTTTTATAAGTTCTCATTTAATACTGCCCTATGGTTTCTAAAAGTTCTACAGTGAGGAATCATTATTCTTATAATTAGATTTTTAAAAATAAAAATAGCAGCCGGGCGTGGTGGCTCACGCCTGTAATCCCAGCACTTTGGGAGGCTGAGGCAGGTGGATCAGGAGGTCAGGAGATCGAGACCATCCTGGCTAACACAGTGAAACCCCGTCTCTATGAAAAATACAAAAAATTAGCCAGGCATGGTGGCGCGCACCTGTAGTCCCAGCTACTCGGGAGGCTGAGGCAGGAGAATCACTTGAACCCGAGAGGCAGAGGTTGCAGTGAGCCAAGATCATGCTATTGTACTCCAGGCTGGACAACAAGAGTGAAACTCCATCTTAAATAAATACATAAATTAAATACAATTAAATAAAAATGGCTACTCTGCCTGTGGGGTAGTCCTGCTCTGCTATGGAGCAGCCACCCTTTTATAAAAAATAAAAAATAACAACAATAAATTTTGTTTTGATAAATCAGTAAAAGAAAAGCCCTTCCCTCAACCCTTGTTTCTTGGTCATCTGTACTACATATTTTTCTTATTATTAAAATTGAGATAAATTCACATACCATAATGTAACACCTGTTTTCAAGGAAAATATGAGAACATTAACTTACCTGTAGAATCACTGAAATTATACAATTCATCTTTTATAACTCCTACATGCAGATATATTTTGTTCTTACCAGAACAGTGTAAACACTGCATAAAACTAACTCAAAGGTTTTTGTTTCACTTCTTAATACGTGCACATTCTATCAATACTCTATCTTCAGTTTACTGATTCGTAAGGAAAGACTGAAAGGAAAAGGAACTATGGGTTGCCCCACCTTCCCCTTTCCTGTAATGTCCTCATTGTTGAAATAATACCAGAAAGGATATGATGGAATTCATTGGTTATCCATATTTCTTAGAATGCTGTAGGGGAGCTACAATTTCTCTTTTTCCTATTACCCAGCTAGTCCTAAGAATTAAACTGACATAAGACAGACTAACAGGAGAAAAGTATACAGATTTAATGTGGTAACATTTTCACAGGAGCTCCCACCATAAAAACGAAGACCCAAAGAAGTTAGGTCAACAAAAGCTTATATACTGGGTTGGACCTAGAGGAGTAATTTGTGAAATGTGACAAGACAAAGGGGTCTGGGCTAGGGCAGTTAATTGTTGAAAAGTGGCTAGGAAAACAAGGCATAGTTTAACAAGGTGTATTTGAACATATTTCTCTGGGCCTCAACTCCCTGATTCTGGTGATATCTTCCTCCTGGTGTACGGAGGACATCTTTTACATGGGAGTTTTGTTTACTGCTTTCAGGAAGAAAAAGAGAAGGTCAGCATGCCTTTCTTGCATCTGCTGTTTTTCAAGTGCCTTTAACTCAAAATAATCACTACGTGAAAGTGGCATATTTTGGAGCAGCATGCTCTGAACCCTGTCAATGCCATGGACATTGTCTGAACTGCATTGGAAGCAAGTTCTGGTCCTAGGAAAGTGTGGTCCACCAAGGTTGTCAGCACCTTTGCTTACTGACTCCCAGACATAACATGCATTGAGTCTTGCTTAACTCCCATCCATGGTGGCTTTGTCAAAATTCTGTGCTCATGGAGCTGCACAAACACAACATGTGAGCTAGGGTGAACTGGAGACCATGGTAGACATACATATTTTGTGTATCTCCTCTGCTTCACACACACCTTCCATGGGCCCAGCAGAGTTCACTTAGAAAATACAAGGTGAAAAGTATAATTATGAAGGCCATGGAGCATTAAACCAAGCATGGTGCCCTACTAAGCCTGGAGCCATGTGCGCTTGGCAAGTCATGCTTCCATGATGCCACTCAGGGTACAAACTAGGAAAAGAGATGTGATGGTTCCCACACCCAGTTCTTCTCATTAGTAACATGGGACACACCTGTAGTGTAACAAGTCCAAGAGTGAGCTGGTTTTGTAGCTTTCACGCAAGGGTCTTAACAAATTTAATAACACTCACTCAGTGACTTTTGTTTTTCCAAACTGAAGGATCTGAATCATGTTAGTCTGTGTTTAAATGGAAAGCCCTTCTGATAACTTGAATGCTTTGTCATGACCCCTTCCTGTAACTTCTCCAGCTTCACTTTTTTCCCCCCCCGCCAAGGGCTGTGAATGTGGGAGCACACTATCCTAGGCCAGGTGCAGAGTCAAACTAGCTATCCTCTGTGCTATTCCATTTACTTGACTTTTGCACGGAAGCGGCACCCCTTTTTCATCTTTCAAGAGTTACAAAAACCAAGAGCTCAGTTGCTGGCGCCAGGCTCTCTGGATTTGAATCTCATTTCCACCATTTGCTCACTTCCACATTTCCATCCAGGTGTGTATCTGCCTGCTTCAGTTTCCTCATCTGTAAAGTGGGAATACTATTAGGTTGGTGCAAAAGTAATTGCAAAAACCATACCTAATAAAAGTCCTTACCACATAAGGTTGTGAGGATTAAAAGAGTCACTATATGGAGCGTTTAGAATCTTGTCTGATAATACTAAGTGCTATTCATGTATTTGCCATTTTTATTCCTCCCCCAAATATAAAGGTCTTTATTCTTTTTATAGTAAAAAGTACATGCCAAGTATAAACTTTTTAATTGAAAACTTGGCAAGAAACAAAATCACTCATAATTCAGGAAATGACCATTGATGCCTTTTTGTTTTGTTTTGTTTTGAAGTAGAGGTGGGATCTCCCTATGTTGCCCAGGCTGGTCACAAACTCCTGGGCTCAAGTACTTCTCCCACCTTGGCCTCCCAAAGTGTTGAGATTACAAGTGTGAGCCTCCATGCTCAGCCCATTGCTAAAGTTTGATGTATCTCTTCCCAATCTTTTTTTCTTTCCTATGCACACATGTGTTTTTATTTTCCTTTTTCCGAAACTAGGAATAAATATATGTGATACATGGTAGCCTCATTTAGTTTCACTATATGCTATAAATATTTTTTCGTTGTTACAGAATCATTTTAATGCCTGTATATTATATCATGGCATAAGTATACGACAATTTATTAAAGAAATTTGATTTTGAAAACATTTGGGGTTGGGTGCAGTGGCTAACGCCTGTAATCCCAGCACTTTGGGAGGCTGAGGCAGGTGGATCACTTGAGGTCAGGAATTTGAGAGCAGCCTGACCACCAGGGTGAAACCTCGTCTCTACTAAAAAAAAAAAAAAAAAAAAAAATCCGGGCATGGTGGCGCATGTCTGTAATCCCACCTACTTGGGAGGCTGAGGCAGGATAATTGCTTGAACCCAGAAAGTGGAGGCTGCAGTGAGCCAAGATCACGCCATTGCACTCCAGCCTGGGCAGCGAGGGCAAAACTCTGTCTCAAAAAAAAAGAAAAAAGAAGAAAAAGAAAAAGAAGGCAAGAAAACATTTGGGTTTCTAGTTTTTCAATGTTATAAGCCATATGATATAAACAGTCAGTTTGGTGTATATTTCTATAGAATATATTTTTCATCTCTATATATAGGTCCCCATGGTAATGTTTAATCCTTCTTTTAGGTTATATTTGATAGCTCAAACTTCGTCAGTTTACAGACTTAGGTTGTATCATTTTTCTTTAATTGCATTATTTAACATTTGTCCTTAATTAAAGCTCCTGTGCTACTTTTCTGCTCACAAATGTGTCCTTGAATTTTTTCGCCTTCATTGATTAGCTAATTCTCTACTTAGTGAGCTTACTGTATCCACAAACTTCAGAGCTCCTGGTATACTTACTCTTCCAAATCAATTATAAACTATCAAAGTTGTTTAGCTCAAGAACTGAAGCTTGAGATTGTTTTCTGTGGCTGCTCTTTAAATGCTTTCCAAAACAAACTATTCTGTGGTGAAATCCTACAATATTAAGTCATTAGAGCTGAGGGGATCTTTATAGATCTTATTAAAAGCTTCTTACCAGAGGCCTCGGGGATTTGAACAATAGGTACATTCTCTCTACCCCTGTCTATACTTATTTGCCATCTCAAAAACTGTTTTAAATTAATAAAACTTGATTTCCCCTTTATATTCCCTTCTGAAGGCCAAATGCCTCTTGCCCCTTTCAGAAATTGAGGAGAGCCATTTCTGTGTATGCTGCATATGTGACACTGTGTGTGTGTGTGTGTGTGTTTGTAGGGGAAGGGTGTGTGTTTATGTAACAAGTTGGATAAAGCATTGGTATTTCTTATATAGTTGGAAATTCCTATTTTGTGGCATGAGCTTGTCATATGAGCCTGCCTCAAACTAAAAGGTCAAGTGGACAAGTTCCTCTTCAGCTGTTTTGCTTCTGGGAAACCCAGCTCCATCCCTTGGGTCTGAGAGGAACTGAAAAAGCAAACGCCCACAAAGCTGTGAGTGATTCAATATTATCCCTATTGGAGGCGTGGCATTAAAGAGGATGTATCAGAAGCTATGACGTCATACTAACTGCTAATACTGGGGATTTTGACCATCAGGCAGAATAAGTCACATTTACAAGTTTCCCATCAGTCATTTACTCAATAAGCATTTAGTGATTATAAAACTGCTTTTGCAA